CAGTTTTTCAGTGAGGTCGTTAGGTTTCTCTAAATATAAGATCCTATTGCAAATAAGGATAATCTGACTTCTTCCTTTCCAATTTGGATACAATTTATTTCTCTCTCATCTGATTGCTCTAGCTAGAACTTTCAGTACTATGTTGAATAATCGTGGTGAAAGCGGGTATCCTTGACTTGTTCCAGATCTTAGAGGAAAGGCTTTCAGTGTTTCCCATTCAGTATGATACTAGCTGTGGGTTGTCATGTATGGTATTTATGGTGTTATGTTCCTTCTGTACCCAGTTTTGTGAAAGTTTTTATCTCGAAGAATGTTGAATTTTATTGAATGCTTTTTCAGCATCAATTGAAATAATCATATAGTTTTTGTCCTTTGTTCTGTTGATATAATGTATTACATTGATTGATTTGCAAATGTTGAACCATCCTTGCATCCCTGGGATGAATCCCACTCAACCATGATTAATCTTTTTAATGTGTTGTTGAATTTGGTTTGCTAGTATTTTGTTGAGGATTTTTGCATCTATGTTCATCAGAGATACTGACCTATAGTTTTCTCTTTTTTTTTTTGTTATATCTTTATCTGTTTTTGGTAAAGCAGGGCTATCCGATGTAAAGTAGGGTCCACTAATAAAGGTCCCAGAGCAATCAGCTGGGTTCATCATACTGTAAAGCTGTTCTGTCCAATACAGTCGCTGTATTGTAACCCAGTAAGCAACCAAGCATTTAATTCTTAAATTTCCATTTGAGTGAAATGAAGGATCTTTTTAATACCTAAGTTTTGATTCCACAAGAGAGAGAACATTCTCATGTAAGAAAAGGAACTAGAAACACTGCTATAATAGAATATAATGTATGCATTAGGGAAAAATAAAGGAGAATGTAAAGGGAAAGACAAAGACTGCTCTGGAATTTAGTGGCAAGATTCAAATGCACTGCCTTTAGTAAAATGGCAATAGAGACATTCCTGAGGATCAGGAAAGAGATATAATGAATGTTGCAACCCATAGAATTTTCATGGGGCTCATATAACAAGAACTGAAATCTGCACACTGCATCATTTCAACTGTGAGAAAACAGGTGTTGAAACCTACTCAGCAGATTGAAAAACAGACCGTAGTCTGTTGCCTGTGGTATACAGAGATATTAATTTAACAGCCCATATCTGGAGCCCATCTTTCTCTTAGACCACTAGACTGCATAATAAATTCTAGTAACTCAGGAGGCAAATTGTGTTATGGAACAAATGAAGACAGCACAAGAGTTTGAAATTTCACTTCCCAAGGCGTTCAGCTAATAAGCTTGTCCTTCTGTTCAGATAGCAGGATTACTGAAAACGAGGGGAAGTAAATGAAGGAACAATTAGACCAGTTCTTATTTTCTTAAACAGCAAAAACTCATTATATTGTATTATATTAATATTATGTTTAAAATATATACGATTTAGAGCTTTTTTTTTCCAACAGGAAAGAATGACAAATTAAAACCCTTAAGTCACAAGGAAAGTTGATGCTTTCTTCTGAAATACTGAACTTTTAAGTTCAGAAACTATATTATACTTGAAAGACCAAGCTTTTAGAAGCCAGGAAATTCCAAAGCAAGCCTACAGCAGCACTAACTTGGACACATTACACATGGTACATATTTTACGGTCTGTATCTAACAAATAACTGGGAGATGGAAAAAAATGTTCCACATATTCAACATGGCAGAATAAATTCTACAGCATAAAGAAGAATTTTGAGATGTCCTGAACAATAATATGAAAGTAAATATTCCATTAATCTAATTTTAGTAACTTGTTTTCCTTTCTTAAAAAATTTTTTTAGAACAAAAGTCATTGCAGTTGAGTAAGATTACATTTGTAAAATACTACGTACATCACCATCCTATGAATTTCAGAGGCAGTCCCTTCTTTCTTTTGGCAACTCTTTAAAAATCTCATGAAACAAATGCTTATTTTTCACAACCCCAGATCTTAATTAACTATCTTTGGAACTTAAAAATACTTACATCATTGTCTTCAAATATGGCTTGACTTTTCTTCCTTGATGGAAACAGCATTCTTGCCAACTTTAAAATTTATAGCTATATTTTTTAACTTTTAAAAGCACAAAAAATACCAACACCCTTCAAAGTG